ATATAGTTATTTTTAATTGAAACATTTACGCAAATTTATACAATAATTTTTAAGTCCAGTGGAAAGGGAAAATATTTAAAGTTATTTTTAATTAAGTCCAGTCGAAAGGGAAAATATTTAAAGTTATTTTTAATTGAAACATTTACGCAAATTTATACAATTTATAAGTCAAGAGGAAAGGGAAATTATTTAAAGTTATCTTTAATTGAAACATTTTAGCAAATTTATACAACAATTTATAAGTCCAGTGGAAGGGAAAATATTTAAAGTTATTTGTAATTGAAAAATTTACGCAAATTAATACAATTCTTTAGGTCAAGTGGAAAGGGGAAACATTTAAAGTTATTTTTAATTGAAATATTTACGCAAATTTATACAAGAATTTATAAATTTAGTGGAAAGGGAAAATATTTAAAGTTATTTTCAATTGAAACAATTACGCAAATTAATACAACAATTTGTAAGTCCAGTGGAAAGGGAAAATATTTTAAAGTTATTTTTAATTGAAATATTTACGCAAATTTATACAACATTTTATAAGTCTAGTGGAGGGAAAATATTTAAAGTTATTTTCAATTGAAACATTTACGCAAATTAAGACAACAATTTGTAAGTCCAGTAGAAAGGGAAAATATTTTAAAGTTATTTTTAATTGAAATATTTACGCAAATTTATACAACATTTTATATGTCTAGTGGAAGGGAAAATATTTAAAGTTATTTTTAATTGAAACATTTACGCAAATTTATATAATTTATAAGTCTAGTGGAAAGGGAAAATATTTAAAGTTATTTTTAATTGAAACATTTACGCAAATTTATACAACAATTTATAAGTCCAGTGGAAAGGGAAAATATTTAGTTATTTTTAATTGAAACATTTGTAAGTCCAGTAGAAAGGGAAAGTATTTTAAAGTTATTTTTAATTGAAATATTTACGCAAATTTATACAACATTTTATAAGTCTAGTGGAAGGGAAAATATTTAAAGTTATTTTTAATTGAAACATTTACGCAAATTTATATAATTTATAAGTCTAGTGGAAAGGGAAAATATTTAAAGTTATTTTTAATTGAAACATTTACGCAAATTTATACAACAATTTATAAGACCAGTGGAAAGGGAAAATATTTAGTTATTTTTAATTGAAACATTTACGCAAATTTATACAATAATTTTTATGTCCATTGGAAAGGGAAAATATTTAAAGTTATTTTCAATTGAAACATTTACGCAAATTAAGACAACAATTTGTAAGTCCAGTAGAAAGGGAAAATATTTTAAAGTTATTTTTAATTGAAATATTTACGCAAATTTATACAACATTTTATAAGTCTAGTGGAAGGGAAAATATTTAAAGTTATTTTTAATTGAAACATTTACGCAAATTTATACAACAATTTATACGTCCAGTGGAAAGGGAAAATATTTAGTTATTTTTAATTGAAACATTTACGCAAATTTATACAATAATTTTTAAGTCCAGTGGAAAGGGAAAATATTTTAAAGTTATTTTTAATTGAAACATTTACGCAAATTTATACAATAATTTTTAGGTCCATTGGAAAGGGAAAATATTTAAAGTTATTTTTAATTGAAACATTTACACAAATTTATACAACAATTTTTAAGTCCAGTGGAAAGGGAAAATATTTAGTTATTTTTTAATTGAAACATTTACGCAAATTTATACAATAATTTTTAAGTCCAGTGGAAAGGGAAAAGATTTAAAGTTATTTTTAATTGAAACATTTACGCAAATTTCTGCAGTACAACAATTTTTAAGTCCAGTGGAAAGGGAAAATATTTATAAGTTATTTTTAATTGAAACATTTACACAAATCTATACAATTTTTAAGTCCAGTCGAAAGGGAAAATATTTAAAGTTATTTTTAATTGAAACATTTACGCAAATTTATATAATTTATAAGTCCAGTGGAAAGGGAAAATATTTAAAGTTATTTTTAATTGAAAAATTTACGCAAATTTATACAATTTATAAGTCAAGGGGAAAGGGAAATTATTTAAAGTTATTTTCAATTGAAACATTTACGCAAATTTATATAATTTATAAGTCCAGTGGAAAGGGAAAATATTTAAAGTTATTTTTAATTGAAAAATTTACGCAAATTTATACAATTTATAAGTCAAGGGGAAAGGGAAAATATTTAAAGTTATTTTCAATTGAAACATTTACGCAAATTAATACAACAATTTGTAAGTCCAGTAGAAAGGGAAAATATTTTTAAGTTATTTTTAATTGAAATATTTACGCAAATTTATATAATTTATAAGTCTAGTGGAAAGGGAAAATATTTAAAGTTATTTTTAATTGAAACATTTACGCAAATTTATACAACAATCTATAAGTCCAGTTTATTACATGAATTTCAGAAACAAGTATCAAATCTGAAATCAGTGTTAGCATTTATTTATCCCTCAAAACAATTTGCAATAGACATGTAATTTATAATAAGAAAATTCACAAAGTTTTTCTAGCACACTCACCATTCAGTAGAGGAAGCAAAATTCGTCATTCAGCCAAGCAGGGCTGGTCCACTTGT